GCCTCTTGGGAATTGGGTCTGGGGGCGTTTTGGGACCCCCTCTTCTTCATCTTCATCTTCCTCAGAGTACGTAATGTCCTTGGAGGCCTTCCAGAATTCTAGGCCTGAAGGTTGTTGGGTCTATGGCTATATCTTGTTCCGTAGGGTTAGGGTGTTCTTCTACAATTCTACCTTGAAAAAGAGACTAAACAGGCTATGGAATTTAGGGAATTGATATGGGAATGGGTAACAGGGGTTTGAGCTGGTGTGTTAAGGGTAAAGGGATAATATGCTGCTACTCTAAAATCTACATTTACTACATAACTACTTCTAAGGTCTACAAAAACAAAAAAAATTAAAACATCAAAACTCCAAGGTATCACATACACTTCTCAATTTCTAACTACTCTTCCCAGAATATATAAATAGAAACATCCCCAAAACCCTATCCTACCATCAACCTTTCTTTCAACCCCTCCTTCCTAGAGACGTATACACACATTTGATCCAAAATGTGGACCAAAACTTGACTAGTAAAAACATGAAGCACTAAAGTGAAAAGTGGAGCCCAAAAACTAGAAGCAAAACCAGGAGAGAGCCAGTGAGGGGGTGGAGGAGAAGTATGAACATGCTGTACTAATCTACTAATATAAGAAAACTTGAATACTGTTTATAAACCAGAACGCTCTTCTTCCTGACTGCTAAGCCACTATTCTTTTAATGATGAGGAAGAAAGAAATTGGTTTGAAATCTTCAGTCCTGAATTTCTGCTTCAAAATTATGGTACTTTTCAGCAAGGCAGTTGCTGACTATAGTAAAAAGCTTAGTAAAGCTGAGCAGTAATTAAGAGATCTCATTTACAACACAATTTCACTTTTGTACAGGGGGAAATGTGCTTCTTACGACATGAAATTTCCCATAAAAGACATGGAGATATAACACCATCTAAGCCTTTCATTTGTCCTGTGAAGTAAACCATTGCTTCCTATGGTAACTAAATACATGCTTTTTCCTGGTTCCGGCCAGGATGGGGTTGATTTTTGCAGTAGCCACGTGAGGGCATGGGTAGGACCCAGGGGTTATTCTATATCACCTCACCTCATTTTGCAGGGATGGGGGAAAGGGTCCCTTCCAGGGCATGGAGCAGTGGGGTATTGTCAGGGGTTTTCTGCATAGTGAGAAATCATGGGTGAATCGTTCGCCTCTTTCTTGTACACTCTCATTACCATTGTTGCTGCTATTGTTCAGTTTTCTTATTTCATTGTTGTTTCTAGTAAAATGTTCTTATCTCAACCCATGATCTTTACCTTCTCTGCCTCCAGTTCTTCTCTCCATCCTGCCACAGGGGGGAGGGGAAAGGGGGAAGTGAGTGAGTGGCATGTGGTTTGGAATCTTTCAGTGGAAAGACTAAATTGGGGAATACCATTCCCAAACCATGAAACCACTCGAATAAAGAGAACTACTGAAGTCAAAACTTAAAAGATAATGAATACTACTCAGAGCCAAAGAAAATAGTTCTTGGAACTTTTAGGGATCATATATTCAAGTCCCATTCCAAAATTCAAATCAACAGCCATCATGTCGTGATATTCCTCCATAGTCAGAGCAAGCCTCAATGTCTATGCAATATGCCTAATACAATTTCCTAAGCTGTATTTACAGAAAGCAGACCTGTATCAGTTTATTTAAAATCAATGGTTCCTGTCTGTGAACCCCTGAATGTTTTACAGATGCACATGCAGATAAAAATAACATGTATGAGTCTGCATTGCCTAGTCAATCAAGAAGAATCTTAAAAACTGTCTACAGATCATCATTCATTCTAAATAATTTCATAGGAGTTAATGACCTTAATGATGAGAATTTTGACATTGTGACATTCCATACTTATCTTCACCTCAAAGGAAGATATTCCTAATAGATCCAGAGCATTCACCAATTTTCAGGTCAATATACATATAAACGTGGGACAGACAGTTAGACATGTCAGTGTTCTAATTCGGTTCTTGTAGAACTTCTTCCTCCCATCTGTAGTTTCACAACAGCAACAAATTTTGCATTAACTGTGCCAAGTCTGGTTAGAGAAGCTCTCCTTTATCTGAATATTTTGTGGTTTTAAAGAAACAAGTATCTATGGGTCCAAGACTTCAGTCTACCCGTTAGCTACAGACACGCAGAGAGAGAAAAGAAAAAGCCCTACTAAGTATGACAGCACCTTGGACATTCAGTGGTGCTTGGAGAGATGAATTAAATGCACTTATCCCATCCCAATCCGCATTCTGATATAACAATCTCAGATACACTCCTATGCCAGCCCTTAGGAAAGCAGCTTCTAGAATACAGATCCTCGCCTGCATCAAAAAGATACTCCTGAGCCACAGAATTAGAGCAAAAGCTCTCCTATCTATATCTGTAAGCTCAAAATTCTTAAAATCACTGTATCCCCTCCAGTTTTCACACCAAGTATAAGCCATGACAAGAACATCTTGAATGAAAATTAGTTCTAAATGAAAGCAAGAATACTTAGCACCTTTCTCATGTATTTCAGCTTTCAGAAACACTTTGCAAATATTAACGTGCCAAGATATAAAAGAACCATTGTTTCAGTGAAAGGAAACGAGAGGAAGCAGAATTTGGTAGTAAAATGGACAGGTGGCTGGTTGATATTTCAGTTTTGTACACTGTGGTTTCATTTTCATCTTAGTGACGCATCAAAACAGGTTCTGCAGTACTAGAACAGCAATACTACATTACTGTGTATTGAGACATCCTGGTAGAACCGTTTTACTTTCAACACCAACACTTTTCCAACTGAAATTCCTGTTGCTTTTCTTAAATTAAAACTGCAACATCTTTTTTTTTTTTATTCTATACCACCATAAGAAAAGCTTTTATATTCTTATTGAGAATAAAGTGTTTTTCCTTTGCAGCTCCCATTACTGCCTTTACAAAGGCACATATGCCCAGCAGAGTCAAGAAGCTAGATACAATGGCGTAATTTTTTTAAGTTTGCCCACTGCATGCTCTCTGAATTCCTTTATCTTTTTTTTTTTTTAGGGTGATTTGAGGCTCTTTAGCCACAGCTAACAGGAAAGACATGCAAAAAGATTCACCACAAAGCATTTTTTGCTACATTCGTATTCATACTATCATAGTTCAATGTTGGGATGTCTTCTCAGAACTCCACGCCATCCAGAAACATCACTAGATGCCTGCCAGTACTCCCCCACAGAAAACACTGATAGCTGATGGGTGGTGAGCTTATCTCCAAGCGCAGGAGTGGCAGATTTCCATCTGTATTGGTTAGCACCTCACTCCACTATTAGCAGCACTGATTTCAGCAAGACACTTCATAGGAAAAGTAAAGCAAGAACGGCAAAGTTTTTCACTTTGGTATTTAATGTTCAGCTCATTAAGGGCCCAGCTTGAAGCCCTGTGAACCTGGCAGAAACATTCCCACTCGAGTTTTGAGTAGGGCTTTGAAAAATTAGGGACTTGAACTTGATATTGAGAAAGGAACAGAAGTTAGTTAAGAGCAAAGGGCACAGGTCTCATGTCCTCCCGCTGTTAAGCCTAGTTTAACAAACTTGATTACTAGTGGGATTTGCACAGGGTTACCTCAGTCAACTCAGAGAAAAGTTCCAGCAGAAAAAGCATGGAACTTGGCTTCCAAGTCAACTTTTGAGAGGAATACCTAACTGAAAACATCCAAGGGTATCATATAACAATCTCTTTGGCTAAAAGCAATAAGGATTCAAAAATGGAGTTGAGACAACCTGAACAATTAGAGCTATTTCTCTCTAAAAAGACCAAAGTCAACATTACAAACAGATCCTGAATATGCTTCTCACTATTAATAGTGTTATCTCTGACCTGCTGAAAACCAGTGCTCAATCCACTAAAACTTCACCAGAAATTCCAGTCTGTTGTGATTAATCAAAGACACTATATCCTAAAGATGGTATCTGTACCTGACTCAAAACAGACCACATCGAACAAGTTCTTGATGATCAAAAAAGTTTTATCACAAACTCAGAGATGCACGGTGAATACAGGTAAAGAAAAAGACACAAAACCCCAAGGAAACTTATATTTCTTGCTATCTGTGATGAATGACTCAGGTTCTGTCATGTTAGATGCATTTCATCTTTATCAATTACCATCACATGGCAGGTGCAATGGGATCTGTCTCAATCCTGCTAAAGGTTTTTGTTTAGATAGTACCAAAAAAATGGTGCTAAATACTGTTGTAAGATTTTATTTTACACTTTCAAATCAAATATAAAAATATGCTTAAAACACCACACCAATTAAAAAAAAAAAAAAAAAGGCAACTTAACAGAGAAAACCAGTTGTGTCCCAGAACTTCAGTGATTTTTTTCAGAACTGTCCCATGTTGCTCCTTCCAGTAGACCACAACACAGGAATAGAGATTTTATTTTTTCCAAAAGTTATTTTAACAAAGCCACCAATAAATAAGCATGTATTACTCAAACAAAAAATTATTGTGAATAAAAGTACGGTCTAAAAAGAAATTTTAAAAGGGGGAAAGTACAAACTATCAGTTTTCAAAATTTCAGCACACTCTTACTTCTGTATTTTGTAAGCTCATTTGGGCAGTAATGGTTTCTTGCATTGGGAATTTCTGACATCCCAGCTATGCTGGTTGACAGTACGAAGAATGATTATTGATTGATGTAACTTGGCTAGCAAAAGCTGCCACAGTACTCACAGTTATATTAGCAAAAACAGTGCTTTTATCCGAATTGCTTCCATCATTTGTGGAATTCACTTTTGCATGAACAAACATAAATATTATAAACACAAGGAACTAGAGACCTGTGAAGTTTTGTGGCTATACTCTTGTTGGGATGAACAGGGACACAGTGCAATGGCTTGCATGACTAGAGTGCTGCAACAAAGGGATACAAGCTCTTTGGGAAGGACATGCTGGCAAGCAAAGGAGCTGGAGACACACTTTATGAGTGTGGACGTTGGAATGCACAGAGCCTTGCCTGGGCATGGATGATGAGCTAAGTGAGAGCTTATGGGTAAGGACTGAAGAGAGACCAGTATGGGTGACACTGCCATGAGCATCTGCTGTAGGCCACCTGGCCAGCAAAAACAAGTTTATGAGGCCCTCTACAGACAGGTAGCAGCAACCTCACATTCACAGGTCCTGGTCCTGCTGGGGGACTTCAACCACTCTGGTTATCTGCAGGAAGGACAACAGACCCAGGGATAAACATCCAGAGCCATTTCTGGAGAGCATGATAACAAATTCCTGATCCAAATGATAGAGGAACCAACAATGAGACGTTCTTTGCTGGACTTATTAACCAGAAAGGGCTTCCTGGGGATTTGAAGCTCAAAGCTGCAGTGACCAGGGTGGCATTCAGGATCCCCAGAGGAGGGAGAAGGGAAGAAAACAAGATCACAGTCCTGCCATTCACGATAGAAGACTTGGGTCTTCCTGAGGACCTGCTTGAAAACAGTCCCATGCAGAGAAAGCTGGATGATATTCAAGGATCACCTCCTCCAAGCTCAAGAACCTTCCATTCCAAAGAGCAGGGAGTCAGGCAAAAAGGCCAGGAGGCCAGTAGAGATGAAAAAGGAGATCCTGGCAAAACTCAAACACAGAAAGTATACAAAAGGAATACATACAAGAAGAAGCAGGAACAGGTAGACTGGAAGGAATACAGAGACAGTGTCTGAGCATGCAAAAATGCAGTCAGGAAAGCCAGAGACCACCTGGAGCTAAGAAAGTCAAGAATAAGTATCTGAAGGGAGGGTATAAAGATGGTGAAGCCAGATCCTTTTCAGTGGGGTTCAGTGACAGGCAATGGGCACAAACTGAAACACAGGAAGTTCCCTCTGAACATCAGGCAACACTTTTTTACTGTAAGGATGACTGAGCCCTGGCACACATCACCTAGGGAGGTTGTGGAGTCTTTATCCTTGGAGATACTCAAAAGCCATCTGGATGTGGTCCTAGGCAACTTGAAATAAAAAACAAACTCGGGCATTTCTTAATATACCAACTGCATGACAGGTGAAACTGAGGAACAAAACCCAAACACATAAAATAAAATACACTGCAAAACTAAATTATTTAAAAGAATTCTTGATACTAACTTCAGGTCCAAAAATCTTTATTGCTGATGTGTAGTACAGTATTTTTTAGACTGGGAACAGAAAGGGAAGAAACTCACCTATGAAAAATTTTAAGAGCTTTAGGACATAAAGAAGGACATCTGAAAAATTTGTACTGTATCACACTGCATCACCTTCAGACACCTGTTGAATAGGGATTTACCTCAGTGCTGTTTCGCTCATTCTCTCCACCTCTTCAAAAACCTCTTAACAAATTTGCCCAGTAACATGGCAATAGCCTTCTATTCAGAAAAATGCTATCTCTGCCCCTGCTTATCATAAGTCAAAACTGATATAAAATGATGCAATCAATAAATGTGCTATATTTTTAACCCAGTGAGCACATGTCAATAATTCAGTGGAAACTCCGGTTTCCTTACTGTTCATTTATGGTGACTTCTAAATGGCCATGGCCTTTTCCAGTTACCCCATCCAGGTTGTTAGCACCACCTGACCATAGACAAACTCCACATATTTAAAGAACAATAACCTAAAACCTTTAAATATCAAGATATATTAATTTACTCCTTCAAGTATTTTCCTATTTTCTTCTTGAAATGTTGTGCTATTTTCTATTTTTGAGAAGTAAAACACACTCCTTTCTTCCCTTGATCACAACACTGCCTCTAAATCAACAAAGAGTGTCTGTAAATTCCACTATAATTAGTTTATTTTGTCATTTATCCATCTGTCAATTAACTTTTGTTTGTTTGGTTTTAGATGCACATATATTCTGTATACATAATATTTACATAAAGATAATTGTTATATGCTGAGTATCGTCAGGGACTTGGATTTACCATCTAAGGCACAACTATATTAAGCAATAGTTCTTGCTAAAGACAGTGGTGTTTCCATTTGTTTAAGGCTCAGAATAGTGACTCTTTCAGAAAACCAGGGTTCTGCTCCTTGCTTTTTGACTCAGACCCCTTCACCTGCAGTCCATGGGTTTCTTATCACAGAATGGTTTTATCTTTCTACAGTGTTATTTTCCTCACCCTAAGAGACTCTGTAAAGCTTTCAGGAACCTATGAATTTATCTCCACAACATGCCTTAGACTAGAAAATTAGCAAAGTTATTCTGCATATGAAAAATACTGTCATCAGTTTCAGTTCCTTACATACTAGTGGAACAGTATCACTATTTTTGTTCATCTTAATGCAGAAAAAATGTAAGGAACATCTTTCTTCTCAACCCATTCACCAACTGTGCACAGTTACTCATATTGCAACTGTAACATAAATCAATATCTAAGCTTACTAAAATGTTTCCAGTATATCATGCACTTCTGTATCCCTCAGGTGCCAGGCACGAGCACTGGTGTGAGAGTAGTGGCAACTGGTTGCATGAACAGGGTGAAACTTTATGTCCAACTTCCCCAGCAGAGCACACAAAAGCAAGGGGCAAAAGTCTGGATAGCAACGGTAGAGATGAGACTTCCAAAATTCATAACCATATTGCAAGGCAGTACATGCATGGTTCTCCACTGTCCAAACCAGCCTGAAAGAGCCCTGACTTTGTCCACGGAGGAATGACTTCATATGGAAAGGAGGTGTTCCAGTGATGAAGGACCTGCATTGCTAATCAGAACGCTGCAAGTCTGAATGACCCCAGACGTTTGCTAGAAGCAGCTGTTTTAATCTAGCAGACTTTAGGCTGCACTAGCATTGTAGTGAGAACAAGAGAAAAGGGAGGCAGACTCTAGTGTTTGGAAGCAAATGCAGTAACTTAGGCCACTGTGCCTGTACTCTCTTCTTCACACCTGAGGGCTGAGAGCAACCATGGAAGGATGTGAATTTATTCTCATACACATTGCTTCTTTCTCAAAGTAATCAAAACTGCAAGGTGATTGCTGGACAATGAGCTGAAGGCAGCTGCATCTCAAATTTCTCAGCTTGTACATTTTATGGTTGCTTTCTGAGGTAATAGTACAGACCAAATTATTGCTTTGGTTGCATTTTGGAAAGTAGTCTGAAATTTAACAACATCAAGTACAAAACTTTCCCTCTTACCTGCTCATCATCAGATGGTTTGGCTTAGCCACTAGTAGATCCTCTGTTCCAATAGACTCAATATCAGTATTGTTTTTTTCCCCTTCTTTCTCCATTTTTACATCCTCCATTTTGACAACATAAATCTCAATGAGGAAGAAAGAAGACATCCCAAACTAAACGATTCTATCTTCCTTTAAACTGATCATTTTTGCTTTGTGGAAGTAAGTGTCAACAGGCAACTCTCCTAGTACTAAAAATTGTTTACAATATCATCACCTACTGATTTCAACTGATTTTCCACTACTTGGAAGAGTCACCAAGAGGAACAGATTTCTCATAAATGTAGTTGATATTAAAGAGTTCTGCAAGATCAAGATCAAGGATGTACGTTATAGCGTATTCCAATAATAGCAACTGAAAATGTCCACCCGTACAGGGACCTCATTCTTCAATGTTCCAATTCTCTACTTCAGTAAAACAGCATCTAATTGTACAGTATACTTAACACCGAAGAATCCAAAAAGACAGACAACTGCACCCTTTTAAAGGGGTAGGAACCATCTTTATCTTATTTAAAAATTCCCAAGCATGCCAGCCAATATTTTATCTTTGAAGATTTGTCTTACATGAATGAGAACCTCCGTGCTTAAATCTGAGTCACACTCTAAAAACAGTCTTGGAATTGAAAAAAAGATGAGACTACAGAAATATAGAACTTAAATTCTGCTTCAAAAGCCTCAGGGTTAATGTCAGTTCACTTTATATAATAATATCAGGAAGTCTAGTACTCCTTTCTGTTAAACGATGAAAGCTAATATTCCTAAGAACAACATGATCTAAAGAACATATATTTGAATATTTAATAATGCTAGAATGATTGGGTTTTATTTCTTATTTCTATGCAGTGGCATACACCCTTCTAGTACCTTCGGCCTGAAAAATATTGAATTAAGCAGATTCATATATTGAAGTCCAGTAATTTTTAAACATAAAGTTCCATTTGAAGTATCGATTAGCAGCAGCAATAATTGAAGACAGAAGGGAAAACAATCACCAAGGGAATTTAGTACTGAGGTTCAGGGGCACAGTAGGGGAGTCATAGAGAGGAGGAAAGTGAAACCTAGCCAAAAGCAGCTGGGTTAAGAAGCCTAAATATCAACTGAAAATTTCATCTTATTTGAATAGTTCACAATTCTTCTTGCTTGTCCCATTTCACCACTCAGTAACACTTTATATTCCACAATGAGAAATATTCTTTTCTCCAAAGAGACAAATTCATTTCCAAGTCCATCTAGAAATCACGAGCAAAGTGCTTCATAGTTTAAAAAATAAAATAAATAAAATACCACAATTCCTTCCCTTCATTTCTCAGCCCTTCTTCTCCTCTTCCTCTTCTTTGTTTCCTCCTAAAACAAAACCCTTCATTCTTCTCTGTATTTAAATGAAGATTTCCCAGTAACAATAATTTCCAGTTTTCTCCTAGTCCTAAGTCTTAGCTGTCAAATGCCTACCAGGTGACAGAAATCTAAAAGCTAATGGTACTACCAAAATGTCGTCCCTCTGCATGTAAACATTATGTTCTGGGATAAACTTTAGAGGAAATATTGAGAGGTGCAAATGAAAGTGACAACTTCCCTGGAAGTTCTAAGGAGCAGAAAATTTCTTGTGAAGGAATCAGGAGGCTGCTTAAAAAGACTTTTGACTTTTTTTTTTTTTTGGACTGAAGATAGGGTATTTTGTAAAACTCAATGCCAGAACGAGAAAATAGGTTTAAGCTGATATGGGTGTCATCCTTCTGATTTTAGAAAGCTGTGGTTCTGGTGTTACAGCTGATATTGTGGTTTTGCCAAACAACAGCAGATCAGTAATTTTTATGATTTCTATAATTTTCATAGATTCCTGCAAAAACTGTAAAGCAAGCCATTGTTAGTTGAAGTGACCCTTGACAAGCTGCCCCTCAGGCACCATGGATAGTCCGGGTCATCATGTGTAACTATTCCCTGAGGATAAAAAATTGGTATAGATATGGAGTAATAGAAATGACTCATCAATACTCAAAAATGCATGGGAGAAGAGTAGAGTGGTGATGACACCTATCTCCTCATAGAACTCACTGGTGAAGAGCTCAGAGGCATAAGGACAGGGAACTGCAGCCTTGAAAAACAACCTATTTTTATTATTTTCAAGCATAGCTATCTTATGTGGAGCTATCTTAGTGAGGAAGACTGCATTCTGCCTGCATGGTCAGAGACTTCCAGCTTTCTCCACTATAAGGGTTACATGATTACGTATGGATTTCTGCTACAGTATCAGATGGACAGTGCTGGGGTTCTTCTTGCCAATTTTAAGTGTAGCTTCTACCTGGTTAACTCCATTGTTGTGGAAATAGTAGCTATATCCAAGAAAGAAAGTGAAGTGGATCACTACAGTAAACATTATCAGACCTGGTCTGATCTGCAAATTAAAACAGGTAATAGAACTATTTTACACAGTTTGCTTCTAATTCTGACACAGATGGCACTTAAACAAGGATTCCAGCCTTGGCAGATTTCTTCAAAGTCAGTGCCAAGGCCAGGATAATCCTTTCTAGCAATTTTCTCCTTGATTTTTGAGCCACCAACTTCTGTAAAAAATAGAATTTGTTATCTGCTGCTCTCCTTCTACAGCCATGCAGTGAAGAAGCTTTGACAGGACACAAGGTAGACCTTCAAATACTGAGCCAAGTGACACCAAAAGAGTCATGAATCCCTACAAGGCACAAAGCTCATTTCTGAACCCTTATCTTCAGGTGAGTATATCAAAAGGAAAAGAAAAATTAGTGATCCAGTGAAAAAGAAAAAAAAAGGAAAAGTAAAAATACCTTCCTTGAGGTACTTCTGACTCTGCAGCTCTTAAATTATGCCAAGTGTGGGATAATGTACAATGACTGTTTTTTAAAGCCAGAATTAATGAACAAGGGTTGCTTTTTTCTACAAAGAGGAAGATGAGCCAAACCCAGACAACAGACCAAAAATAGCGCACATGGACATGTGTGTATGTTTCCTTACACAAAACCACTTTTCAGAAGGTTCTTTAGCCACAGCATTAGGAGAATAACCAATAGAGCCAACTCTGAAGAGAATGAAGACAAGCTTGCATTGGCCACTATGTTCTCTTCTCACACAAATCATAATGTTATCAGCACAGACAGGTTACAGGAAAAAGAGATACACCAGAAATCTCATATCTTTAAAACAGATATTTTGTTGATTTATTGTAATGCAGATGATGAAAGGTCTTCAAAGCTGACAAGAGCTCATTAACATGGGCTTTCATAAAAGACAGGAAATAAAGACACAGATATTAAAAAAAAAAATTAATTTGCTCTTCTGGATCTAGACAAGCACTCCCATCAAAATCGTTAGGAGTTTGCATGTAGATAGAGTGCAAAGACTTTGTAGTCAGATTATGAGTTTTACCCATTATTTGCCCTTATAAACATCAGGGGGAAAAAGAAAAACAAAAAGGGCTTGGGTTTTGATGGTTTTTGTTTACTTGTGTTTGGGTTTTTTTAGATTGCTCTTATAAGGGCATGTATACAAAATAAAAAACAAAAACGAAATGAGACAGAAAATAAAATGGGAGTATTCTAGTAAGGGTCTATTGACAACTGATTGTTTATCCCAGGTAAAAACAAAAACCACATACTTGAGCAAGAAATAGTCTCACAAGAGTTTGGAGAATTGTTCCTGCAAAATCATTATTTTTAAGACTGCTTCAGTTCAGCAAGTTAAGTGCACATGGGAGATGCCTAGTTTTACCAGTTTTCTAAAATAATTCATTCAGAAGGAATACTACTTTTACTAATACTGAAGTCCTACACATTGAAATTTCAGATCAAACATCTGACAGATCTTAATGTTGCCAACAGACATGCAGTCATTCATCACAGCTCTGCACTTTGTCTTTCTGAGGACTGTACTTTGGAATTCCTGTAGACCGGATAGCTGGCACAGAGAATTCAACATCTAAGTTACACTATTTTCAGTGCTCCTTCAAAGAAAACCAGTACATATTGCTTCAGACCTGAGAAAACTTACAATCTTTTTATGTCATCTAAACAACGAAGAAAAAAGTTGTCATGCATATTTTGGATACTAAAGGAAAAAAAAGTATCTTGCTACATACTGCCATTCAAATACCTCCAAGCTATGCTTTCCTCACCAGCAACTGACAAGGGGGGATGTACTTTGAACAGGAAAGATGCTGCACACAACATAAATCAAAAATTGTGAGAATTAAACATCAACAGGACAGAGAAAAGGAACCAGCTACCACAGCAGGCAATTAAAAGCAAAAAAAAAAAAAAATCAAACCAAACCTACCAATCCAATTATCCATCAGAGACTCTGCAGTTACTGCGGCTTTTACATGACTTGCAGCCTTTCTGATCAAGGGCCGTCACAGGACACCTAAGCAGTAAGAATTTCACATTTCAAACTTGGAATACTTATCAGCAATTTGCAGTTTTCAAGAAGATTAGGGATACCTGTTCCACATTTCTCCATTTTAAAAAACTGACACACAGTGCAGACGTTTGGGGTAAGGGTTTTTTGTTAAGTTGTCTTATTCTTGTAAGTAAACTAACTTTGATAACCTATCTCCATTTGCAGCAGGGAGAAGAATGACTTTGTTAGAAGGTCTCCCTGCCCTTAACTCATCACCTGAGTTTATAGATACGATTTCTCCTCCAAGCTTATACTATAATGATGGAGATCTAGGAGGTTAGGAGAAAATTCATCTCATAGGTCTTATCAGAATACTCTGTGCATTTTCACCACTGAATGAGGGGGAAAATCCCACCCACACTAGTGCTTCTAGTGTGCCTTCGCAGCTGGGAGTCTGAAGAGTAAGTAGCAAATCACTACCCTGTCTTTTTTTGTGAGGCTACATTTTGGGGTTTTTTTTCCACAGTAGAAGGCATAACACTTTAAGAAAATTGCAGGGAAACTAGGCAACCTTTCAATCCATTTATCACATTTCCCGCTGTTTCTATTTCTGAACAAGCTAAAAAAATGACTTTGTACAAACAAAATTAATCAATATCCAGAAGATATCATTAAATAAAATATGCTGACCTGTTGGCAATTGACAAGTCTGGTGTTAACATAGTACTTTGTTTAACCTGGTGCCTTCTGTTCCTTCCAGTACTGATATTGTGTAAAAAAAAGCTAACAATGTTTAAGAGACATTTGCTTTATTGTCATTTCCATCCTGGCATCCATACCTTCCAGAACACATAAACAACAGTCAGTGCTGTGAAAACATTTCCTGTAGTAATTTTGAGACTCCTATAAAAAACATGTACAATACACACAGAAAAATGTAAGAGCTTATAACAACTGTTCAGATGCCTCCACTGGCTAATTTTCAGTTTAAAAAAACGCGTGTTGCTGTGTAGCAGTACCCCTGTTCCAAGTTGAACAAAGCAGAAGACACTGTACTCAGGTGAAAACACAAATAAATATCGCTTGTCTGACGCTCTGCAAAGAACAAAAATCACTTGCTTTCTAAAACTAAAACTGGGCACAGCAGAAAAGCTAGGAATCTCTCCAAAAAGTGTTACATAAGGCATTGTCAAACTTCACGTCACCTCCACAGGGCCGCAAGTTGCTATTTTCCCCCCATCCCCCGATGCGCAGGGATTAATGATCTAAACGACACAGTTCTTGTACAGGCGATGATGACAGAAGCCTTCCCAAAGGGAAGCTTCCTGGGCAGAAGGTTTGCTGGGGAGGCTGGCGGGGGATGGGGAAGCCACTCTGCTCGCCTCGGCGTCCCAGCCAAACTCCGGCTCTGCCCCGCGGGTCCCGTTCCGCCGTGCCGGCTCCCGGAGTAGGCTCGCCGCGGGCAGAGCGCTCACACCCCACGTCGCGAATCCCTCCCAGCCGCCCGGCAGCGGACACCAGCCCCGGGCTCTCCCGGACGCCAGAGCGCAGCCCGCGGTCCTTGCCAGGACCCGCCGCCCCACGGCTCCCACGGAGCGGGAGCACATCCCGGCCGAGGAGAGCGGCGTGCTGAGCGGGGCCAGCGAGCGGACTGGAGAGAGGAGCGGGGTCCGAGCCGGGTGGGGGAACCTCCGTCGGCAGGGAGACGTGCCCCTTTGTGCCGGGAAGCGACACGCGCGCCTCCGCCCGAGCATCTCTTCAACTCCGGATCTGATGGGGATTAAAAACCAGGAGATAAAGCCGCCAGCCCGGCCCTCTGGACTTGGGTGCCCCTCCCCTTCCCGGGCTGCTGGAAGGGAGACACTCACTGAATTGTTTCTTGCCCTCCCCCGCCCCTCGCCTCTAAAAGCAGCACAGGCTCGACGAGAAGGCTCTTACCTTCCCCGGGTGGCTGCCGGGCCGCCGGGACGGGCGCTCAGCGCCCGCTGCTCCGCGCAGGCAAGTGGTCCTTCCCCCTCCTCCGCTCCAGGCGCGCAGCTCCAGCTCCGTGCCCCCAGCCCCGCGCTCCGGAGGTGTCAGCCAGCGGGTCCCAGCCGGGGCGGCACTGGCGGCTCCGCTCTCCGCGGGACGAGGAGCTGCAGATCGTGGGAGGAGGAGGAGGGCGGCGGGGAGGTCCCGACTCTTCCCGGGATGCGCCGCCGAGGTGGCCGCCGCCTCCTCCGCCGCCCAGCTCAGCTTTCTCCGGGGCCTTCCCGCTCCGCGCTGTCCCGAGATGCAGCCCGGCCCCGTCCGTCTGTCCGTCCGTCCGTCCCGCTCGCCTTCCCCCGCCCCTCTCCCCGGCGGCGAACCGCGCGGCGCACAGGCCCCGCCGGCGGCCAGGAGGACCCGGGAGCGACGGGGGATTCTGGCCCAGCCTCCTGTCCTCTCCCCGGGGCCTGGTGCACACTCTCCGCGGGGAGAGGAGGCCCTGCCCCGGCCTGGCGAGCAGCTCCGGGAAGGTCACCGGCACCGTGGAGCCGAGCACGGAGGCTCCCTCCGGCACCGCCGCGGTCGCTGCTACTGCTGCCGGCTCGGCGTCAGCGACCGCTGGGTGCCGCGCTCCGCCCGGGCTCGCTCCGTGCCCGTGCCTGCCGGCCGCCTCCGACTCTGAGTGCCAGGCTGCCCCCTTCCCCTTCCTTCCTTCCTTGCCTCCCGCCCCTTCCCCGCTGCCAGCCTTCTCCCGCCGGCTCCCTCCGGCGCCCGGTGCCAGGCTGCCCCCTGCGGGTCTCGGGGCCGCGGCTGCTCGCCCGGCGGGGCCGAGGAGGAGCCGGGCGCGGGGGCAGCCGCCGCTGCCGCTCCGCGGATGCCGGGAGCCGTGTGCCCGCCGCCGCCGCGCTGCCCCGGGATAGCTCAGCGGCGGCTGCAGCGGCTGTGTGTCTGTGTCATGTCTGTGCCTGTGCGGGCGGAGGCGCGGGGCCGAGGCGGGGCCATCCCGCTCACACGCCGCCCAGCGACAGGCGCCGAGCGCCCAACCAGCGGCGGCCGCCGGCGCGCACCGCCCGCCCGCGCCGCGGGGCGCCCCGGGCCGCTACACCTGGGCAGGGCGGAGGGGGTCGGGACGGGCTGCCCGCGACCTGCCGCCCTTACAGAACGCTGTCCTGCGGGGGGGCCGCGGGGGCACAGCCGGCCCCGCACGGGGGGCCGCGCCCGCCGCTGCCCGCCTGCCCGCCCGAGCGCCGGCCCGGAGCGGGGAAGTGCGGTGCGGGCGCGGCGCGGCCCCCGCCTCGGGCGCTGGTGCCCGTCGAGGGGGCGAGGCGGCGCCCGGCCTTCAGCGTGAGCGCCCGGTGGGGAAGACCCGACTGCGGTCGGCGAAACCGCGTATATGAGTAAATATCACGGCTTTTGGCTTAAGTGTGGCGGAGCGTATCCCTGCGATGTGTCCCTGCGTGCTGGCAGCTGCTGACAGTGAAGTGACAGGCGCACCTTTTTTTTTTTTTTTTTAATGCATAAAGCAACCATCAACGCGCTTTTTTTTTTTTCGTTATTTTTACTAATCATTTTTCTTTCACTTCATTAGCGGTTTAAAAACGGATTGTTGCAATATCGTAGCGTACTAAGAGGACCGTATGATACCTGTGTGTAAGGCTGGAGAGGGTGTGTGAAATTCCAAGAGGAGTGTGCAAGGAGAACAGAAATGAGCTAATGTGCATACAGTCCGACTCTAGAATGGCACTGATCCATTCTTAGAATAGAAGAGGAAGCAAAGTATACACGTGCTTTGAGTAACAATGTAAATAATCAGAAGTATGAATAATAGGAGTAGTAATCGGTATTTTCTGTTTTCTTCTAGGAGGCTAAGGGAATAGTTTAAGAGTTGCTCTTTAGAAGATACCACAGATGCTAATTTCTCTCATTACATCAGCTGCTTAAATGCTATAGCTCATGGAGAAGTTGCTGTAATATGGGCAGAAATTATGCTTTTTTATATACTGTACTAAAATATTGTGAACTCTTGAACAGATTGTTCATAGCAAGGTAACATTTGCTAGACTTGATTAAGGTATTGGACCATCAAGCTTAGTATTCTGCTGCCAGCAGCATCCGCTTCCTGATGCTTTAATCAAGAGTGGTATCAGATGAACTGAAGTAAATCACAAAGTTGAACATGCGAGTGGTATAACGTAAGTGTTACTAACTGCAAATTTTGACATATTGTGACAAGTAGGAGAGCATTTTGCAGAAAAAAAACCAACTCTGCATATCTGTAAACATAATTTAGTTCTGATATGAAGAATTTTCTGGAGAAGCTGCAGTAACATACAGATTGGTCTCTATTGTGCTTGTTATTTTCATGAGCAAATCTAAGTCAGAAATGAGCTATACTAAACTAATTCTCTCCTTTCTCCTAAGTGAAGCTATAGGTTCAGCCTTCAAGTAATAATGTTTTCTTGCACTGTTGAAGGATTGCAACTGCTTTGGTGACAGTCAATGAACGAATTGCTGGGGAAGTGTGGAGGAGGAAATAGGATTGCGTATATAGCTTCATTATTAATAAAACTAGATTATCTACTGCCTGTTACTGGAATTCTCTGCAGTTCCACATTTTTTAGTCTCATGCTATATCTTGAAAACTAATAAGTTGTCAGAGTCTGATCCTACAAAATATTGAACAATTTCTTCAGGTTCATAATGTTCTTATCTTATGTTAGAGCAGGGAACGCTCAGCACCCACAAAAAGTCTTAGGTTTTAAGAGCAGCATGGATTATTAGGATTACCTGATGTGCCACCATGAATGACAAATGATGGAACTTCATATGGAAATAAAATGTCTTGCTTAAAATTGCTCTGCATCCTTCAGGTTGGTGACCTGCTCTCAAAGGGACAACAGTTGTCCAAACCCAGAGCAATGTTTGTCAGAGGCTCTAGCTGAGAATGATTACCACCAGATTATAAAACTTAACAAGGACAGGAGGAGTGACTACCTATGAAGATAGAGTTTTTCAGAAATTGTGTTTATAAGCAAGTAATCTTTTTCATATCCATAATAAAAATTGCTCTATCAGTCCTTGAAAATCCTGAAGTGGCAATTGCTTTGGACATAAACAAGAAATGCAGAAGGATACTTATGCCAAGGACAGGTAGAAGAAATTAGATGCAAATATTTGCACTTCGGATTTCATTCAGCCAGGAGGAAGGTTCTCTGAAAACTACACAGGTTCTGGAGTGAGGTGTCTATTTGCATTTTAAAGAAAAGAAAAAAAGCAAAACCTATAGTAATGTGAAGCATGTAGGTTTGTTTTTTTTTTAAAAGGATCATTTCGTAAGGTCAAGAAACTTGAAGTTTTAACAGTCTGATTTAAAAATTTTGTAAACCAGACCCTTGATTTTTTAATAGAAACATGTCAGTGTTGAGATATTGTTAAATGATAGATTTATACTGATGTAAAATTATCCCATAAATATTTGGTCTCATTTTTTCCTTACTGGAACAAGAGATAAAGACATAACAGTACACAACTTCAAACAGGTTATGGTATTTTCATTACACCAGAGCATCAGTAAGTAAAATAGTATTAAGTCTGTTTACAAGATCCCAAACACTTGCAGATTTATCTGGATTTTGATAAAAAGAACAAAATTACTTCTAATATAACCATTTTATGTGAAAGGGAGGTGTAAGGCCCACAAGTATTTAAATTTATAGAAGCGCATGAAGTTCATCTCCCATTTAACACCAGTGAAGTCCTTTTTACGTTCTTACAGTTCTTTCATTTTTCTAGCTAAATTCAACCACTATGAGGTCTTTCAAGAAAAAAAGACAGTGCTTTGTTAAGGAGTGACCGAAAAGTGCATCACTTCTCTAGTAGTGTGTTATGTGCCAGCTGAAATAGAAGCTAGAACATTCCTGAAAAAGAGGAAGGTGGTTGGTCCCCATTCCTACACACACATTCCTGTGGTTAATCGGCATTTTGAATACCTTGAGAGGCAGATGCTGCCATGTCACACTCAAGATACGGGATATGCATGGACAAAGCTAAGTTCTCCATTGCCTTCTTTCATGTGGAGTTGATGAAATAGCCACTTTTCATAAAATCAACCATTCACGGTGTTCTCACGGGGGGAACAGGGGAACAGAAATTTAAATCTGATTTAGCAGGCTGGCTGGATTGTGTTAACTGATCCACAGAAAGTTGTGACTCTTTGTTTATGAATTGCTGCTCTTCTAGATGCTAAATTGCACAACTGTTAATAGCATGGGGAGCAAGACCAAAAGTCTGAAGCAAGTCCTAATCCTTGAGATTCTTGTTATCATCTGCTTCAGCAATAAATACAGGACTACTGCAGAACAGGCCACCTGACATATTTTGTAGTAGGAAAAGGCTTTCAAACAAGAAATAAGTGAAATTTAATCTACTCTGGAAAAATAAATTCCCAGTTCTTGAGCATAAAGTCGAAGCTCTGTTATATATACTGTCCACAATGGGCAGTAAATTAAAATTTAATGAAGATTTTCTTGTGCATGTATCAGAAAAAAGAAAAATCAACAAAACCCAAGAAAGTGAGAGCAAGATTCAGATTCCCTGGGGTTATAGGAAGTGGAAACAAAATAAAGATGGTAAACTGAATGCCATTAAATAAGTAGAAAACATTACGAAAACCTAAAACTTTACGAATGCAAGGACAGCTAGTTAATATTATAGAAATTATTTCTTTTTTATACCAAAATAGATTTCAGGTAATAGACTGATTTCCTATGTTGATTTTTTTCATTGTCATGTTGGTTTCTCCTAGAGTTCAGTTGTACTTCTAGCTGTAAAAAGGTAAACATCCATACTAAAGTCTTAGATAGTATTATGCCCTATAACAAAGAAAACTAAGGAAAGAGGTATTTTCCTCTTTGTTTACTTTGTATATCTGACAGAACTCTCTGTGTATTTTTTTTCATTGCTGTCATTTACTACTTCTCATTTGTTGTGATTCAGTCATTTAGAGAATAGTTGGGGAGGGGTTTTTTTGGTTTTTTGGTTTTTTGTTTGGACAATAACACCTATTGAAGATATGCAGAATAAATATGATGCAACTTTATTTTATGAAGTTAATCTGATTTCAGGTTGATGGTACTTCTTTAAGTTTGGGCCTACCATGGTCAAGTCAATCTAGTGTTTCTACTTATTGATTTTTGAAAGTAGCAAATGCGGTTTTGGTTGGTTTGTTTGTTTGTGTTGGTTGGTTGGTTGGTTGAACAAAGGAATCTTCACGCCTATGCTGTTTGCAGTCAAATTCTAGGTAATTTACAGTGGCATAACTATTCTGTGTTAACATGTTTCATTCCCTTTACAGAATCTTCTGGGAAAGAAATACAGCACTGGACAAACTTTAAAATAATTTTAAACTTCACTGTCAAGGAAGGTGAAACTGACCCAAGTACTCCTAAGCCTAAATCAAGGTATGTCGTAGTCAGTGGAGCAGCTGCATTGATTTCAGTGGTATCCAAGATGAACTATCCTTTATGTCCCAGTCAGTGTTCTGGGAAAACAAATATGCGCATTTATATACTCAGACTTTTATGATGTTCCTTCTTAATAATTGTTCCTATTTAACTTCTCTGTCTCTCTCCCAAGCAAACAGTGGATATAGTGTCTCTCTTGTTACTATGTTTCTTTTGTTACACTTCTCCATTTATTGCCCTGTAGTATGAATGCTGAGAATATGAGAAATCTTACCTGTATAATTAATATCTGCCAGCCTTTCTAGAAGTATTAAAGCAGACAATGTATTACTCCTCCAGTCTTAGCCTTACACATTTAGATTTTAATTCATCCAAGGACACCTTTCACTATCTGGTGAAAACATGGATAACTCTACCTGATCAAAACAAGACCTTTTTTTCCCATCAGAAGCACCTGTTTTATACATGGAAGGTTTAATTGTTTCCAGAATAGCTTCATTAACTTCTGAAAGTATTACCAATACAGTGCTCCCCAGAGCCAGGATGCTAATTAGAAAGAAACCTGGCCTTACAGTAGTTTGAGGAATGGTGTCTTTTTTTAAGAGAGCAGGAAGGATTATTCAATCATTGACAGAGTGTTTGTGCCAGAAAGTAGGAATAACTGCCAGTTATATGAACTCAGAAAATACCTGTGACAGATGAGTTATTCCCACAGTGAAACAGCCTCTTCAGACAATCAGCAACAGTAAGCCTAATGATTCTGTAAACGTCCGTCAAGTTCCATGCAGTTCAAGCAATGTCCTTTATGACCAGTACTGTATGTCAGCTCTAATGTCCCTGACTCAGTGGGTTAGGCGTGTTTGGAGGGTGCCACATGAATGCTTGGATTGCTTCCTTAGGTACCCAGATTGTCAGTAGTAACGCATCTGGCCTTTGTCACATTTATGCTGATTTTATATTAAAGCTCTTGTCTCATAAAAAACCAAAACAAAAACGAACAAAACAAACAAACAAACAAACAAAACCCAACAACAAAAACAAAACCCAATACAGGACTAAAGTGTAAATATAAAATGTAAACAAAAATGTATAGATGAATAATAAAAACATAGATTCTATTGCAAGTTAATGCATGATATTGACACTTGAAGTTTTGTGTCAATGGTCAGGCCTTTAGAATTTGTATAAAAAAGTTCCTGGATTAAAAATAGATACCATGGCAAAGGAAATTACCCCAAACTTATAAATAAGAACCACTACCTAATGAGTCAAAGAGAAAAATTTTTGGCCAGAAATAAAAGACAGTAATTATTGTTCAGTTCCTAGAACTTCTGTATTTTTACCAATGAGGGCTGTTTTTTAAAATATTTTATAGGCGGATTTCTCTAGAAAGCAGAAATACATTCTAGCTGCTACTGTCAAATGGAGGGTAAAATAAACTCCAGATCCTGTCTAATGACTCAGGCTTATTTGCTTTTTGGCCATTGCAACAGTAAGAATGCCCAGCATGAATCTTTTCTGGCAGTTTAACAAAATTGACCTGTCTGTGTCAGACAAAAGCACAATGGAAATATATGTAGATGCTTCTGAATATAAACAGGGAGCATAGTCTGAACAGCTGAGCATATAAACCTGAACTCATTTAGTGGCCACAAGTGGTTGCGTATCTTAGAAGTGTACTGTGAACAAACTAAAATGTTCTTTCACTGGGATGAGATGTGACCATGAGCTGCATCCAGCTCTCTGTCCAAGACTGTCAATGCTAAAGAAAGTTTCTGTGTTCTTGCTGACATTTCAGAAGTTGTGAGCTATGATCTGGACTTGCTACACTGGCAAAAGAATAGGAAAGGTCACCCCATCTCAGCAGTGAAACTGTCAGTAACAAAAGGATAATCCTCCTCAGTCTCAACAGCAGTTACAGGGAAGTTGACGCTAAGGTCAAGCAACAAGGCAAGACCAGTACTAGTGCCAATGAACCTGTCAACATTAAACACCTCTTTTTCAGAGTAGTATTTTAACGCTCCACTATTCTGTGATTCAGACTGTATCCTGACATGGTGGGGGGTTTTCCATTTATTTAGGTGAAACTAAAGCTGTCAGACACACTAGAGGCCAAGCAGGCAAGGCCAGAAAAAGGACAGACCTTCAAAGTCTGAAGGTGACATTGAAGGAATCCAGCATCAGACACAAAAAATGCCCAACAAATTCAATAGATATTTTACACTCTGTGTGTGTACTTGTATTTCTGAGCTTGGCAGCCACACAGGTGCTAGCATTGCTACTTTTTCTAAAATTGCAGTCTATATCATATTGTGTACTGAGGAAAGAAATAAACTTTTGCTACCATGGATGGTGTCAGACTTCACAGTTCCTGCATCACCTAAAAAAAATGGCCAGATTATAATGAAATCAGCTTGTGTTTAAGCCAATTAAAGCAAGAGTTCCATCTACACAGAGGGAAAATAATTTTAAATACTTCTCTAACCAACACACAAGATCTCAGTGCTGGAATAAGAAATTATGCTGGCGTGGTGCCCTTTGCCCATTTTGAAAACATTTCCAAGTGTTCTACTTCACTGTTTCTATATCAGCATGATATTACAACAGTTCCAGTGAGGGGGTATAACTTGAGAAATTTTTCCAGTACCAGACTTGATGCCAATGGCTTTTTGAAACTTTTTCCCACCTTCTTCCACTCAGCATACCCAAATGCAAAATAGATGCAGCCAAGACAAGTGATCATCAGCAGGAGGTACTGCATTTTCTTACTTTCTCCCAGATCAAGGTGAAAAAGGTACGACTCCTTGAGAGTGGGCTTTATGCCAAATACACTGGGAGTTTTGTTATGACACTCACTCAGCTTTAATTCAGGAGTCTTACCCCGTTTTTATCAATTAGCTCATTGGAAGGAAGGACTAATTGCAAGTCCTCTTTCTGCAGTGTAATCTGTGATAAGTTTGAGAGGTGATGGGACACTTACTACTGGGTGATCAGCAATTGGAGCCTCAAAACTAGTGATGGTTTATAAATCTCTTCAGAATTCTGCTACAGAACATTGACGGAGTGGGACATTTTGTGGGAGCATAAAAAGGATTTTACTTAAGTGAGCCTTCAAAAATCCATATGTGCTTAGTAAAAGGGTTAGATAAAAAGGAACAGCTGCATCCTTAAAGAATCTATACCCATAAAGTAAGCTCAGACCTCTGCTTCTTCCTTGACTAACAAGCAGCTAAGAAGGCTCACTCTCCTTGGAATCATTACCAGACTTGGCATCTGCTCATCCCTGACAGCAAATGAATTTTTTTTTTTTTTATATTTTCTTCTTCTATTCACTACTGCAGGAACAAAACGGAGCTTTTCTAAACTGATTATTCTTCTCTAATCGAACCCAGGTAGGAATGGATACTGGAATTAACAATGGTGAGTTTATTTCTTCAATAGGAGACAGAAAAAGAACAAAAGAGATTTGCTGGGGCGTTGGGATACAAGATGAAAACCAGGATCATCTGGATGAAGAAATCAGATGTTCCTAAGATGGTGAGAATACTAAAGAGTGCTGTGAATTCTGCACCTGTCCTTTTTGGACATCAAATAAAATAAGGGTCTGGTAGAAATCACTCTGTGATCATGTGATTAATAATTTGATTATAACCTGAAAAAAAGAGATAACAAATTCTGTTTGCATATGAGTAGTTTTCATTTCCTAATTTTGTATACTTGAGTTTTCAACCCCAGCAATGTCCTATTAATTTAGTTTGGGTGTGTAAGGCTGGATATTACACAAAAGGAATAGAGAAGATGGAGTCTTAATAAAGTTTTATTGCTTCAAGCTTGTACTGACTGCATTGCTCACAAGTGCCTGTATGAACAGGAAGCTTTTTTTCATAGTTTCTTTCTAGTGATGGCATTCATAGAAATAGAGAAACCAATCTACTGATTGGCACAAATAAGAGTCAGATGCCTAGATGTCTTAAGGATTGTCTCAGTGGAGGTCTCAGAATGTTATGACAGCCCAAACTGTTTGTATTTGTTTTAGGCTACAGTTAGAATAGAATTTTGCCATCAGATTTGGGGTTTGCTCTGTGGAGTAATACAACAGGTATTCTCCCTTCTAAGCATTTTTAAGAAACCAGGGCACTAATAAATGACACTTTTTTAAATAATGTTTTGACAGCATCAATGTAACAGGGCGTGAACAGGAAAAAATCCTATTCACCAGTGTTCACGTGGTAAAGGCTTAGATGCAAATGACACCTGCATGAAAGATTGGATGCTAGAAGATATAGCTGTCATTGCTTGATTATCATCCATCTGCCCCATTACCTCAGTAGATCAATTGTATTATATACTAGTAATCAGGTACATACAATGATTAATTTAATAATCTCTCTCTCTACTCTTGAACAGGTTTAGACTAAGAACAAATAAAGTCGTGGTCTACCTTTCCTGCAGTAACTGATATCAGAATGTCCATATCACACAAGCCACAGAATCACTTAGGTTGGAAAAACCTCTATATAACTAATTTCAGGTGACAAAATATGAAATCCGGCGAAGGTACAAACAGAGCTTACTATCTTAAGACATCAGAAGGTTAATTTGAAGGAGGAATTACACCAGCTGAATTAGTATTATGTTCCAGTTGATTTTCTAGACCTATTTTCCTTCTGCTAGGAAAGGAGGTAGCCTTTGGGAAAAAACTAATTTTGAGTTTTCTCTTCTGCAAAAAATAGCCTCAGAAGAAGGACATGCTTGAAGCCATTTGTCACAAAATGTTTGGCTTGACCAGAGAGCTTGAGACTTCACAAATATGCCTCAAATGTGCACTGCAGTGGAGTTTCAACATAGTGTACATCTCTGATAAAACTGATGCTTAACATGCTACTTCAAAGGCATCCTTTGAAGCAAATTTCAGTGGACCCAATCTCCAGCCTGTCCAAAGGGTAGTTGTACAGATCCACACCAAGTCTACTGAGAAAGTGAGACTTTCTGTCCTGGAATCTTAACATATATCGGACTGATTAACATTCCTGGAATGACAGGATTGCACAACAAAGTCAGTAGCTCCACAACTCTGTACTTGCCAGTTAATTTTGATGCAAACATGTAGATAGTTTTCTCTTTTTGATATCTTCTTCTTTGCTTAATTTTGAAAAAAAGTTCAAAACTCAGAAGAGAATGTTTGCAGGCCCTGAGTCATCAGCCTTCCTCTTGAGACTGAAGATGCTCATCTCAAAACTTAGCAGGCTGTTGGCTCTGGGAGTCTAAAAGCAGGATGCAGGCTTCCATTAGGTGTGTGTCATTTCACTAGGGACAGAAAGATATGGGTGAAGTGGGAAGAGTAAATGCAGGAGGACAAGTAGTCAATAGAAGTTACTAAAATACAATACTAAAAATATCCTGTCCCCACCAGTTTAAATTCTCACCTACTCCTCCAAGTAGGTAAGAGAAAAGAAAAATTTCCAGCTTCAGCTTTTGAAACTTTATCTGTCTCCTGAGTACTGAGCACCAGGTCTTCAGCTGGCAGATGTCAGCTGGCAGTGATGAAACCTTACCATGTTTCTGAAGGATCCATTCTTCAACACCCAACTGACAACTTCAGTGTCAAAATGCCAAATGACTCTCAGCAGTACTTGAGGGCAAACAACCACAACAATTGCCTGGGGTCCTTGCACAGTATTGACAGCCTGACAAGGCTAAGCTGGGTAGTAGGGCAAGCCATTTTGCAGATGGGTAGAATGTCCAGTCCATTCCTTAGCGTCTTCTTGTAGCTACGATTACTATTACCAGCTCTACCTCTAGTACTGCTGCTCAAACTTACTGCTTTCCTGTGACCTAGGTATTATTTCCTAATGAACTACATCCTAATGAACTACGATAGTGCACTGGCTGTTTAAGACTGTGGCTTGACAGTTTCCAAGCAAACCAGGCACCAGAAATAACACTGCAGTGTGGAACTTGGAATGGGCGGTGAGAGAGGAAGGAATCAAAGAGCTGCATCATGCACTTAAAAAGTTAAGGTAAAATGAACACAACAGTACACCAGAGTGAAATGTAGTTGGTGGAAATGTCGGCACAAAGGTCTTTTTGACTGGTTAAGGCTGTTAATGAGAGAAATTACATAGCTTTTAATTGGCATGCATGGTAAAAGACTATGCCCTGAACAAATGGAAATTAGATAGGATTCTGAACATGCTGTGTAACACAAGTCCAAATGAACAGAACTCGGAGAGGAACTTACAAGTGAATTTTAGCAGTCACTGCAAATTATCTCAAATGGATTCTTTATATTTGCATGGCTTTGTGATGTCAAGCTGCAGGACCTCAGAAGTTTTCCAAAGTTTGTTGCAAATGCTGTGTCTCAGTGGAGGTCTAAGGCTCTTTGGGACCTGACTGAAAATCCCATTTCTAGGCTCAGTGAGTCACCAAAGGCTATGAGTGCTGAGACCACAATTCAGGAATACATATACAGACATACTGAACACTGCACATTGTCAGTTTTCACTGAGAAATCAAGAAGAGATTTACAATATTATGTAAACTTTTGCAGCAGAGCAGCACCGTGTGTGGAGCAAGTAAGCTGTGGTCCAGCAGGCTGGTTTGTCTATTCCAGAGCCATGAAAAACCAGGTTGGCTGCTGTGATTGCAGCTATCACCACTGAGAGAACAGTCAGGATGAAAATAATTAAACAATCTGAAAAAATTCTCACATAAGAAATTGTTTCAGAGAGAATCAAAAGGTGCAGTAGTAAAAAAGAACTACTTAGGTAGAATCTACATTTGGGAAATCAGTTCTTAAGTAGTAATCTGTATATGATACAGAGGTAATTTTCCAGTTCGACACATTTTTTTCGGGGGGGGGAAAAATCAACCTGACTGCTGTACTTCTGTAGTTATAAGAACCTCTTTTGTAAATTTCTGATCCATGCACTTTACATGTTTCCAGATTCCCTGCATTTTTTAAAGCAGTTACTCATGGCTGCGAGTGCAAACATCTGGGCAGTGGGAGGGAGTAAAAGGTAGCCAGAACAAAGAACGATTGTGTGGAGCACAGACAAGGCACTGGAGAACTTTGCTGCTTATTTCTTGATTTCTTTCTTTTATGGCTTGCGTTGGTGGAATTTACAGTCTAAAAGCTAACTCGTTGTTAATGCTGGTTCTCATCTGGGAATAGACACATTTAAATGCTCATGCGGTTGTAGGCACTGAAATTTAGCAACCCTTTTTTTAACACTGCTCTTCTATAAAAAGCATAGGGAATGCCCATAAGAGGATCTTTTCCTTTAGCGAAAAGACGCAACCTGATGAGAACATTACATACTGTTAATACACATTTGGTATCTTTGGTATCTTACTCAGAAACTCAGTTCCTAACACGCTGGTAATAATGTAATGCTGGAAAACGTAAAATTGCCAACCTGGTGACTTTTTCATGGGTTGTCCAGAACTGATGGCAATTGTTAAATGAGAAGGAACACATGAGAGGGAAAGAAGGATGGCTGCCAATAGTAAAAGTCACTATTGCTCTTTCCTCTACAGCTAGGACAAGAAGCCAACGCTCCAGCCATAAGCAGGGACAGGTTGGTGGAGGATTAACGAATGGTGACAGATACCTGGCCTTCAGAGGAGGCTGAGCATGTCTGAACGGGAAGATGGTCTTCAAATGCAAATCTCCAAAACCGAGTAAATGAAAATAAGCATTAAAAACACATGAGGGAAGAAAAATGGAGGGAGTGGAGAGAGGAGTATGGCAGGAAGAAGAAATGGCATCATGGTAAAAGAAAAGGTAGAGGTGAACAATGGAGCCAAAGACCTATGCAAAAATAAATGCAAAAATGAGGGAAAAACCCTTTGATGTTTCAGAGAAATGAAGGAAGTAATTAATATGAAATCTGGGGGAAAATCTTAAAGAATAAGTACAGAAAACTAAAGACATTTTCTGAATTGCAGCTCACAGGTTTCCCAGCGTGCTGAATGACTAGCTCAACAATCGCATCCAATCTGAGAAGTATTCAAAATACCCTTAGTTAACTTTGTAACCTCCTCCCTGGAAATGCAGTACACTTTTTATACCACTAAAGATGTGTCTCACAAGTGGAAGTAGTGATTAATTTGACAAGTTAATAACTATTGAGCTACACTCTCCCATCAGTAACCAACTTGAATAGCAAGACAAGTGAATGTGATAACAGTGGAACATTAGTGATTGAAATAGTGATAATTCTATAGAGGTTAAATGGGAATGGCAAAACAGCCATGTTGGCTCTTGCCCACTCTGAGCTTGTGCAGTAAAGAAGTATAGTCAGTCCATCTCCAAATATTACATACCAGGACTGAGCCTGATCTGATCTCTTATAAAAAGGAGAGGACATTTTGTGAATATCCACTCTGAGTAAAAATGAGCTCAGAATGTAAGCAAGGACTGATGTATTTGATTTATAAATATATTATGGAGAACAATCCCTGATTTTTTAGGAGTTCTTTGCATCTTTCAAGGACTCCTGTTCCTTTTAGTATCCAATATGGATCATGTTCAAAGTAAAATCCTGTTAAATGTCACTAAATCCAATAAATGCATCTTATCTAAATAGATTGTTCCAAGAGATGTTACAATGGT